CTTTACAGTATATTCTGTGAAGCGCTTTGGGACTTCTGAAAGATGTGATAAGGCACTATATCAAATGCAAGGATTATTATTATTATATTAAGATGTTGGGACCTCTCACAAATCTACCCAGGGCATAAATTAGATAATTTACTTCAGAAGAGAGAAATTCTTGTGAGCTCAGAATACAGATTGAGCACTTGGATAATTATGGATATTACTACAGTTTTGACTTCCAAGATATCTGATTAGTAGCATTGAAGATTATTATTCAAATAATGTTTTTAAAGTATTTAATAAGTTGACAGTGTATATTAGTCTATTGACTGAACAATAAATCATTCTCAAATACCAGTGTCTTCTATCACAGTATTCTATAATGAAATCCTGTGTTCTTCACCAATTGATAGTATTATTTATATGCATGGAAATTGTTAATTTTTAAAAAAAGTTAAATATTAACAACAAATTACATTTACATAGCACCTTTCACATTGGGAAGATGTCCCAAGGGATTGGACATTCAAGGATTTGCACCCGAGCTGGGGGTTGAAATCCAGATGGGTGAGGGGCAAGAGGGGTGGGGTTGGGAGAGTGACCGAAGGCACAATCAAAGAGGAAGTTCTTGAGTTGGACATTGAAGAAGGCAAGGGCAGGGGGAGGCGAAGGGTCTCCGGGATGGAGTTTTAAAGTAAGCGTCAAATAAAATAATCAATTCAAATCTATTACTGAGTTGTGAGCCTTGAGATGAAATAATTCAAGGATGAGCGAATTTTTCTGAAACAAAACTTCAATCAGATTTATTTTTGGGAATTAAGAATTTTGATCTTTAATTTGTCTTTTTTTCTAAATTTGTATTGAAATATGAACATTCATATAACCAATCTGAACAGGCCATATGAATACATAGCCTGAGTGATTTTTATAAGAGCTTTTTCTGTTGCTTTAATGGGTATGATAGATCTTGGTGAATGTTAAACTGTGGTAAAAACTAAACTCCAGTTTACACTTCCTCTGCACTAATGCTGAAAACCGGTGTGTAATATATACAATAAACTCACTATAACTCGCCACTCCAAAGGAAAGGAGCTCAGTGACACGTTATCCGGAGAGGGAATTTACGTATATATATAAATACATAAATAAATGCAGCTGGGACATTGACAGCATAATGACTTATATGTGGTCATGATGAGTTAAACCAGGGTCGAGCTATCAGGAGTGAACGGTAGTGGAAGTGTAGACCCATCATACTTATAAGCCCTCATCCCAATTTTCCATTTTGTCCTTGGAGAACTGGATTATTCCAATATAAATACAGATTTATAATTTCATGCCTCAATTTGAAGGGAGCTATCTTCTTTTAATTTGGTGATAGTAAGTCCCAGTTCTTTTTCTGTGATTGGGGGCAATCCAAATGGAGTTGTTGCCAATACAGACTTGATATAAAAGTGGATCAATGTAGTCTCCTGGCATTTGTATTCAATTTATAATATTGAATACAAATGCCAGTGATTTATAATGATTCAAAGTTATTTGCAGTACATTACCTGAGCAAGGTGAAAACTTGATCAAAATCAGATCGAAATCCAAAGGCAGTTGGCGCCATTCAGTACAATCTTTTAGAGGTTTTTATGAATGCTGGTTCTTGTTCAGATTTTTTTTCTGCTTCTGACTCGATATTCACTTAGCACCTCCGCATAAGAACATGCGCCTATCCTCTTTGTGGGAGGTAACTGGGTCTCCGTGGGGCTCGGCGGGCTCCAAGGTCACATGCCTGGCTATGGAATCTTGGAGTTCTTCCCACTTGACATCTGTTAACTTGCAAGTCAATGCCCTAAAGGGCAGGATGGTCCGAGACAGACAGGAACCTTGCCAGACTGTTTTTCAAAGGCAAGCTATGCAGTTTTAGCTGTTCAAACTCCAGCAGTACCCCAACCCTTTGGCTTTCCGGAACTAGGTAAGGAGGGTGTGTCTTCCAGGAAGAGAGTGCGCATTCCAGACGCTGGGTAATTTCAATGTATTGGTGGCTTCTACTTGCGTAGCTGTCTGGTTTGAAACTCACAAGCATGGTGATGGGTGACATGAATAAGAAAATGTGTGAGAATTGAATGTGTAAGATTATGAGCACAAACCCACTTTTACTAGTTTATAGTGTAGTACTTTGGTGCTCCAATTCACTAAACAGCACCTTCAATCAAAATAGATTTCATGGTGTTACTCAATTTGAAGAAAGTAGTGCTGTCTATGTCACTCTAGTTCATACATTGAAAGATGCTTTGTCCAAATTACCAATTGTAGGATTTATAATTTTTGGACTGTTTCCTTTATTATTACACAGGACATCTACTAATTGCCACTTTCAGGTATTTCGCAGATGAGGTTGGTGGAATAATATGAAAGACCCTTTGCAAGCCTTGTGAGTGAAGGAAAAAATATACTTTATTGGGATGAGTTTTGTGTTTGATTTTAAGTGTGTAATATATATTTACTGTGAATTCATCTGGAAATCCTGATAAACTGGGTTCGCTGAGGCATTGCAACTAAACCATTATTTAGTTATACAGGTAGTTTGAAATAGGACAGTAACACAAGTTTGGCACAGGCTATAATCCCTTCTTAAATCTAATTCAGGTTTCACTTTTATACATTTTTAGCTAAGCATTATGATTGCTACAATTTCCATTTGAAATAGAACTTAAATTCCTAGAGATTTCATTCAACAGCCTCTTTTAAAAGCATGAAATGAATAGATTATACCATAATTAGTCGGCAGAGAATGACCTTTGACACTGCCATCTCGTGTTACGAGATTATTGTTGGTAAAACAAAGTTGCTTCCACCTGATTGCTCCAGTTGTGACAAATATTCAGGATAAAGAATTACTAACAACAAAAAACAACAATGGAATCATTAACAATACAGACCATATGCTGCAATGTGATCTTTTAAAATCTTTATACCTCTTGAGATTCAGCTATGGTCTTTATTGTGCTAACCACAAAACAGATTATGTACTGTACCAGCCAACTTTGTATTTAAATAAATGAGTGGACCAAATTGTGAAGGGAGTAAAAGTGAGAGGATACACTTTGCAGAAAGTTTAAGTGTACAACAGCTGATTTATTGAGACCCTTCCCCCCAAAAAGAAACGCACTTACGTTGCCTTGATTGGGAGTGAAGGATGACCGATGCTGTGAATTATCCATTGATGCCATTAAACACTCTTTGTTCTTTGAGCAATGTAGGAAGAGGCTGTCCCAGTTACTTTTTTCTTCTCTGGATGACTCATCTCAGACTGCCAAATTACTGCTGCTTCTAACTCCTTCCTTTGTAAATGTAATTGTAGATTCTGTCAAGTCTAGGATTTAAAGTCAGATATTACACACTGCAGTGTTTTAGCTACAGTACAAGTTTAGTTGCCTTTTTAATTTTTCCGTATAACTGGAATGCAGGTGGAATGCAGGAGCAAGGAGTGGAAATAAGTAGTTGGAATAGCATCTACTTCGTCTGCTGCAAACTTTCCTTTAGTGCCACTGTGAGAAATTGAAACTTCTCTGTCAGAACAGTTAATGTAACAAATTACAGTATTTTACTTAGCCTAGTACTGTACTTACACTTAGAACAACTATTCCCCCCACTTTACTGTTAAACATCTATTTTCATTTTTAAATGTGGTGGGTGCAATCATTGTGTTAATCAGTGAATATACTAATTATGCACTTCATAAACTCACATTTATGAAAATTGTTTTTTGTTTGCATACAGCAGTTGTGATATCCCATTGATTGAAGCTTTAAGATATTATCTTTTACATTAATCTTTAATCACATTTATATTTTATTTGCGGGATTTCCAACATTTATAACAGTTTAACAGTTCTCGTGTACATAATTCTTATTCCTTGCAATTTTGAACTTGTTTTCACCAACCCTTAATAAATGCACTTAAAGTCTAAAGGAAGATATGAGATAATAATAAATAATGATAATCCTTGCGCCTTATCACGTCTTCGAGACTTGTATTGTTTAAAGTACAATGCAATCACCATATTTTATAGAATCAAATCTTTAATTTGCAATGTGCCTTTTAAAATTGTTCTTTCAAATATCTACTAACTTTAGCTTGAGAAGTGCTTTTAAAGCACACAGAATACTTTTTTCCTGCTCTTTACAACTTTTCACTTTTTGGTGTGAAATTCCCATTGGTCTAACAATGGGGCTGCAAATTGTCCAATAGTTCAGGAACACACCAGCACAGAGAATGAGAAATTATGTTTAAGAAATAGTAACAGAATTTTAATCCCCTCCTCTAAACAAAGATTGTATTATAAAAATATGTAATGTTAATTGCACAAAGGATCTCTTTCATTTTGCAAGTTTTCTATATTAGAATTAAAAGTTCTGTGTCAGACTTGGTCAATAGATTGTGCACATTAATGAAATTAGCATGTATAGTACATCTCCAAGTGCATCAGTCTCCAGGTATTCAATGCTAATTTACTATTCATTTTCAAAGTAGGATGCGAAACTGAGTAACCTATCTGGCTAGGCAGACTAATTACATTGCTTTGATCGAAAGAACAAAAACAACCATTTGCCTGATTGATGGGTCACAATAATCCTGACTCGTCACAGTGATGTACTCCAGTTCAGCAATGAAAAGCTCATCTTGATGCATTCAACTTGTAGTTGAGTTTAGTATGTCCAACAAAACCAAACCGATTTTGCCAAAAAACTTTTGAGCTTCTTTGAGCGATTGTGTCGTTTGCTTTACTGTCTAACCTGGATATACAATACTCTAATTCAGTGTAAATGGAAGTACTCTGAAGATGTTCAGTGTGTCAACTTCTTTTTGCTTCTGTGAGAATCTGAAAGCTGACTTTCCCATGGAAATTTCTTAGCAAATCAGACATTATGAATTGTCACAAACTCAGATCTGTTTTCACAATTTAATTCTCTTATTTTTTTCACAGTTGAAACTTGCTATTAACTTTCCTGCTTCCTTTGTAGATCTTGAAACATTTGCACTTGAGGTATTAAAGGGAGAGAACCTGTCCAAGAAGGCAAAAGAGAAGAAAGATGCACTTTTGAAAAAGCTAAAGGATGTCAAAGCAAGGTAAGAAAGTTTTTGAAGATCAAAAGTATTTGCTTTTTATTACTTGGTTAAAACAGTGAAGTGAAATAGTATTTTGAACAAGAAATCTGAACATCAGGTTCACAATTAAAATCAAATACAGTGCAAAATCTGATTCTAAATCTCATTTCAAAATCGTTTTGGTTTGACTGCTAAGGATCTGTACACATATATATATTTCTAGATTTGGAACTTGTCAAGCAATTTATTTATGATGATCAAATGAGAGAAAAAGGTTGCATGCTCTGTGTATATATTTGCCTGATATAAACATGGATCAATATTTTTTTCAGAATTGTACAGATTCATAAATTGTAAACTAAAATTTATCAGAGAGCTGTAGAATTTTACAACCCAAAGAAGGCCATTTGGCACATCATGTCTATGCAGGTGCTTTGAAAGAGTAATTTATTCAGTCCTATTTATCAGCCTTTTCCCCATTGCTCTGCAAATTACCCCTTTTAGATATCTATCTACTGTACTGTACTGTATCTAATCTGGATTCTGCTTTGACCACCACACCTGGCAGAGCATTCCACATGCCAATGATCCTTGTGTTTTAAAAAAAATCTTCCAATCTTCCTCCTTTGCTAATTATCTTCAATTGGAGAGGATATTGCACAATTCATATAGATATTTATTATATAGATATATATACATACATATACACACATACAACGGAAGTCACTTAAACCAGATGCTGGTTTACCTCGGATGGCGGGTAAATCGGAGAAGATGCTTGGCCCTGATTCATTTGTATTTTTACCTGTTATAAATATGCCGGTTAATTTTGGACAAAAAAATCAGTTTATCTGGACAAAATGCCACGCTGATGGTCGCTTCTGCATCAACTGACTTGTGCCTTTTGTGCGATTCAGTCTCGAGTAGCTTCATTCAGACTCGATCCATTTACGAGCTGCTCCGGGCAGTCAATCAGTGAGGGGGGCGGAGGAACGGGAAAAAAACGAGGGAGGGAATGGAAATGGAGATGGAAGGTGTCAAATCCGGTTTAAGCGGCTTTCACTGTATATCATAAGCTGAACAGCTTAGTGCAAGTGCAGACTTAGAGTTTTGCTGACATAGGATTTAAGAACTGATAGTAGACATAACTAACTGCATGACTGAATGAAATTAGTTTTAGATAATTAGAGATTGTAAGGAAGAGGTAGGATAAAGGTTAGGGTTATTAGTTGCAGAGTGATAGTTGCAGAGAAAGAAACAGCACAAACGGGCGTGTTTTAAGAAAAGCTATAAAAGTAGAGAGGGCACATGTGCGTGTGTACTTGGGGGTCAGGAACATGCAGGTGTGGTTTAACTCCTCGCCTCCCAATGGGTGCCATGTGGGTAAGTGTGTACCTTACGCTGTATGACTTATGTACGCTGTCTTAATAAAATCATCAGATGAACCGACTCTTGGGTCTTGAACCTTTATTTAGAAATAAAAGTGCAAGTTTTCGCTTCCCAATAATCCCTTCTATTCACCAAATCATCAACCAGTGGAAATAATTTCTCACTATAGACCCCTCAAAACCCCTCATAATTTTAATGACTTCTATCAGACCTCATTTGAATCTTCTCTGTTCCAATGAAAATAGGCCCAGTTCCTATAGTTTCTGTTCATAGATTATCCCTGTAAATCTCCTCTGTACCCTCTCTGTGGCCTGAAATCCTTTCTAAAGCTGGGTGGCCGAAACTGGACACAATTCTCTAACTGAAGTGCACCTAACGATTTATGCAGGTGAATAACATCTCTGGTTTTATTGTCTATACCCCTAATCATAAAACCTAGGCTTCCATTAGCCTTTGATTAATTTTACATTTTTCTTTGAAGCACTTGTTCTACTGACAGAACGCTCAGTGGGGAATTTAGTATTAATAGTTTGTATTTTGGCTTAAGACAGACATTACGGCAAACCACATTTGTTAGACAAACAGAGTACTTATGCAAATTGACACATTATTTGATTGCATTTGCAAATGGAATAATTTGAACTTTCTTTTCCAGTTATCCTCAAGAATTTCAGGAGAAAGGTAAGTCGAGTTATTATAAATTTTGCTGATTCATATTTTATTGCAGAAGTTGTGAATAATTTGCTCAATATATACTTATCATTTAATTAAGACATTTGTTAAACTAATTTTACAAATCTCAAATCACACCGTTTCATTGGGAAGATGCTGAATAATTCATCCCAAATTTAGAATTATGAAATCACAACAATGTTGAAGGACCAAGTAACAAAATCTAGGTTGGATCTTATCTTATGTAGCTGTGGTAACTAAAGGAATGGTGGTGCTTTTATGAAAGGAAGGAAAGAAACCCAAATGAAGAATATCCCAAACTACTCTTCTGCAACTCCTCAGTCTAGGTTCAATTTGGTATTGGTAGAAGCCCGTCATCCACCTACTTACTGTATGTAATGTTCGGCCCAAGGGATAAAAAATGGTGGTAGTGGGGGAGGGGAAATCCTCCTGTAACACAAAAGTTTATATAATCTAGTTATAGATCATTAAATGTACAACATTTTCCCAGATTTAATAATAGCTCCCTTAAAAGATTTGTATTCGTAATGAAAGATTCTGAAATGGTGTATGAAAGCGGAGTTATCAGTAGTTTTGGCTCATTAGTTCTGTTTCTTTTATAAACTTGGCACCAGTATCAAAACCGGCTAAGATGGGAGATGGCTCCCTCTGCTGGTCAAATCTCAGCCAATGCAAATTCTAAGTATTCAAATCAAGAGGTGGTTTCTGACGATGGTAGTTGCAACCAATTGTAGAAGCCTTTTACAATGACTGCCTTGCTTTTATAAATAGCATAGCTTTATGCAAAACAGAAAGAGGAGGTCTTGGACACATGACTAATTCTCTATTTGTGAAGATTCAGAGTGTGTAGAGCTTTCTGTATATATAGAGACAATAGAAATTGTACCATGAATTTTTTAGTAATAATATTTTTCTGAATTAAGAGTTTCATGAGCAGTATTTAGCTATGATTTGAGAATTGCACTGTTTATATCAGTACAATGAACGCGTTTTCAATCTGTATTTTCAAATAGATTTTATCAGACTGAAATTTACGTGGTAACTTCAGGTGCTCAGCACAATTTTCTTGTTTATCTCCTTACAAGTAATGATATTTGCCTCACTCTGTTCTTTTAGTGAGAAGTTTAAAGAGTAATTTCTGGTATGAATTACAGTAATGGAAAATATTCATTTTTTAAAGATGAAGTTAGTATATATTTCCTTTAAAACAAAATCCTCCAAATTGAAGGCAGGAAATTGATTGTACCTACCAAAATAGTACAATAGGTTCTGTTGACCTGTTACAGCTGAGTTGACTTTTCTCCCAAGATACCACTTGAAGAGGTCATGACCTGGTAGGCTGTGGCCGTTGGTAGGAGGGTCAAAGCTTGAGGTCAACAAGAGCTTGTGTGAAACTTAGGGAGAGAGGTTTGTTACCTACCAGCTGTGAACAGATTTACCCTGAGTAACTAATATCTGTGGCTCTTGGTCTTGAGAAGGGTAATGGCAGAGTGTAGTAATTCTGAAGTCCAGCCAACCAGATTGATTAAGTGATACCTTAAATATAGTTGTATTTGCTGCATTCAATAAGACTGAATGCAAAAATACACATAATTGGAGCATTTTTAAATCATACTTGAAACTTAAACTCAAACATTAGCAACCTCTTCACTTTTGTCTTGACGCAACTATCAACTAATTTTATCCTTTGTTCATTTGTCTGTTTAAGAAACAAATTGCTTTCATTAAGGGCTGATTTACATTTGGCTCCACTACTAGTGTGGTAATCCCTCAAATACTTTGGATGTCATACATTGTACAAATTAAAGAATAGTCGTGACTCGAGGTTAAAATTAATTTGATTATTTTAAAAAAGAAAATTTCTGAACCTGATATTTTGTAAAATTGATTGATTCTCAAATTTGTCGACTTTAAAATAATACCGTAATTGGTAACATTAGACAAGTGTTCAAAGTAAAGTGATACAAGCTGTAATAGGCTTCATTTGGACATATGCATTTATAGCTTTTACAGTTACATGGTGAAGAAAGTAATTCAATAAAATATTTCTGTAAAATCTAGCACATTTCAACAAATATAGTGAGCAGGTGGCAGCTAGCTAACCCATGTAATTTATGATTAATAAAGTCAAACCATTATTATAACACATTACATAACCATTGTTTCTGGAAAAAATGTTACACTATAAAACTGGATTGATTAATAGTTTTATTAGCTGTAAGCATTGCAACTGCAATGCTGACATGGGCTGCTTTGACAGATATTTGGCTGGAGTAGTGAGCCAAGGGTTTAACAGCTCCACGTGGTACAAAGTGATGACATATTTTACTGCACCAACATAAAACAGTTTAATGTAACTCAATGTCCACTCCTGACTCTTCAAAATGCATCTTTAACATAGAATATTGTGTGTTTACATCATCAGGATTTTTTAAAGTTGTCTGTCAAGACGGTTAATGTGATTGCTTTTGTTGGGTGGTTTCTGTATTAAAAAATGAGTCAGCCTCTTTGATTTGTTTGCCTGCTGCAATCTGATATCCACTTTATGCTATTTCAGTTGCTATTTGTAATAAAACGAATAGAAAGCAATGCTTGCCAATAAGCAATCTAGTTTTGTTTAAGGTTACATCTGTTTTAAATAGCAAATTAAGTCTTACTATAAATGTAACAATTGGATAATCAGTTTTCTATAAGCGCTATTGCTCTGAAATCATAAATTCCAAGTACCTGCCAAAAGATAAATCCTAAAATGCACTTGCCTGCTTTGCAGGCATGTGAACATGAATGACACAGGAATTATGCTTACTTTCTATATACTGTATATTCCATATTTTGAATTATCTTTTTAATTCTTCATAAGAAACTACATAGGCAACTTCATCCTTTTTGATATCTTTCTCAAGATTGGATATGCGGATTGCTGATCACATGACTACCTTCTGCGCACAAATAAAAAACTCACTTTTTTGATGCCCAGACAAGAAAATTTGTGCTCCCAGCATACTGTGATGTAAACAAACTTTGTAGCAAGGTGGACTGACTTCAGTATTCTTGTCCACATCTTCAAATTCCTTCACAATCTTCTCCTCACCCACTTTTACAATCTTCTCCAGTGATATTCGCTTGTCTGTTACCGGCGGCTCTGAGATGATTGACAGCCTTGGAGCCACCCATTCACAAATGACTCCAGCTGTCAATCAATTGTGATTTGACCCTCCCATTTCCTCCCTTGTTTCTTCCCCGTTCCTCTGTGGCCTCACAGCAAACAGTGCGACATTTTGTCCGTATTAACCAGATTGTTGTACAAATTAACCGACATGTTTAAAACTGATCAGAATATAAATGAACTGGGCCCAGACATTCTGTCCAATTTACCTGGCGTCCAGCTAAAGCGACTTCCACTGTATTATTAAAAGCAATTCAACTTTCAAAATCTAGCTGGATTAATATCTTATTGGGATCATATTGGAGCTTATAGGGATATTCACAGACTTTGGGAAACCAACTTCTCAATATCACAAGGGATTTGGTGTAATTTTTATGCTGATGAGCCCTAGTTTGATGATGTGGGGTGGGGTTCAGCAGAGGGAAGCAATGTTGTATAGAGGCCATGGGGATGGAACACTTTCTTGTTACTTTTGACAATGAGGAAGAATCTTATGGAAGTTTCTCTTTGAGATTTAGGAGTTTGAGTAAAATGCATAACAGGGTAAGTTTTGAGTGGTTTCTAAAGAAGTGGGCTTGATTGTTGAGAGGCCTGTTCTTATTTCATCTTTTATTAATTCCTGAATTGTGGTTAGGAAATAATTGAAAGTGAGATTTTATTTGAAAGCTACCTCAGAATCTATTTCACAACTTACTTATACATTTCAAATGAACGCTTTATCAAGCTTCTCCACAAGGTTTTGAAGTAATCTGTTCTGTTTCAGAATGCATTTATTTTACAAAAATTTTAGATGCCTTGTCTTTACAGAACTGACAAGTGAAAAAATAACTTTGAAGTAAATACCTGATATTTCTACGGTCATTGATAAACTTTTAATAAATGTGCATTCTGTTTCTTTCTGCTTGTCTTTACCTTTAAATGATTGAGATATCATTTAATAGCTTTTTGGATCACTATCTGCTGCTTACTAACACTTCAAAGGAAATGTGTGTGCATTGCTCTTGACTCCTTATTTAGCTGGCTCTAAGGAAATCTTTTATACAAATGAATATTATTGCATTCTACTCAATTAAACTTTGTTAAAATTTAATAATTCTCCTGAGCATATAAACACAGAATGTTAACTGTATTTAAATGTTTAATTATTTGCTAGAGGCATCAGATGATTCAGACAACTATGAAGAACCTTTGGCAGATACCATTTCAATGACATCTGAACGTTTCGATAACCAGGATGAAGCTTCCCCTGATGGTATGTGATATTGTTTATCTTAGCCAGTGTTATTGAAACAATGAAATTTGATCCTCCAGAAGATGAGATAAGCAGATAGACTTCAAGTGAGAAGCTGAAATGAATTTTTGAAAGCGTTATGAGGAATTGAAGAGCTCTCTCTAGTGGTATTCATTGTGTGTACAAGCAAGATTTTTTTTTAAAAAGGTGTGCAGCAAGATATTGTGCTCAGATGGTACTTTTATTCATACTAGTGTGTACATTTATATGTACCATGTATGTCTAATACCATGTACGTAGTTGATATACCAGTTTTGATGCAATATGCAATATCTTGGTATAAGGTTGTTCTCACTGTTTGAAAGCACTGTGAATATAGCAGTCATGGTGATACTATTAGAAAAGTTGTACTTTTGTATATGAGACAAACAGATTCTACACTGCTACTGAATACATATACTGTAACTTGCAACTCATTTTAAAAACTATTCTATTTTCCATTAATAAAATATGTTCAGGATGATTGACATCACTTTAGAATTAGGTCTTGATCAAGAATCACTTTCTTTAATCTTTAACCATATTTATTCTGGTTAAACCTACAGAGTCACCATCCTCTAGAATAAACCTGTTTATTCTGGAGGATGGTGACTCTGTAGGTGAAAGGGGTCCAAGAATGCTTTACCGTTGAAATAACAGATGTTTCTGAATTGCAGGGTTGTTTTCAATGTCACACAATTCAGATTTCTTATATAATAATGTTTTATGAGTTGGCTGAGTTACAATCCAAGTTTTGTCGAAGATTTACACACAAACAAATTACATTTCCTTTGTATTGGTGCTAAACACATTCATTGCAAATGTCGCAGATTAAGTAAACTGGAAAATGGAATAAAACTAACCCAAACTGCTATTAAAACCCCTTTAACATATGTTCAGTGTATCCTGAATAATTAGAATATGAATTGGGGACAAGTGATTGATAGAAAGTAAAAAAAAAACGATGTTAAGACCGCATTGATTCATTTGCTACTGCAGTGCTGGAGTTGTCCAGCAGTAGGTTATTTTCCACAAAAAATTGGTTCTTGATTTGTTGTTGCTTTTAAATAAATAAAACCAGGAAATATTCATTAACTCTTTTAATAAAGAAGTTCCACAGAACTTCTGCATAAAATATTTTTAAATGTACGAATGTTGTGCACAACAAGAGAAGTTTCCAGTAAAATTGATTTGAGGGAAGTATATTTCAAAATCTGTTTACTTTCCTGAAATGGATTTGGAGAAGAATTTGTACTTCCCAATCAGCATTGTATAATGAAATACTGTATCTATCTGTCCATACCTACTGCTGACTAAGGGTATCTACTCTTATTAAACAATGTTTACTTTTAGCAGAAACTCACCTAGATTACTGTCTCCTTGTAGAAGCTTAGCACAGTTTACGCTTTCATCTTTACATTGCATTATTTACTCAATCTTAGCCAAAATGCAATCTTGACTGGAATTTATTTTAAAAATGAACTTTGAACTAAAGTTACAGCCTAGAAATTCTATATGTATTTTGAAAGTTACTTGTCACTTTGTACTGCAAATTAAATGGGTACAGCGTCCAGAAACTGTAGCAATTACATTTAAATTATAAATAAAACATATTAATCCATAATTGAGTACAACCAAGGGTGGTCTTGAATGTTCAATTAAAAAAAGTCCTGTAATAGTTTCCAAGTTTATACATTTATCAGGATTACATACTTCATTAAGAAATGGCATACATATTAGTACAGATGCATTTTGGTTGATCCAGTGAACTTTTCAACAACAAAATATAGATTGCTAATGGTTTAAAGTTGCATCCATTGAAACTGGATCTACAAACTCCTACCTCTTAAAGTGTGATGTTTTGAGCAATTCAATAATGTCAGAAGTACAATGGCCCAATGTTATGCCACCTGTTTTTTGCCTAATTCATTTTGGTACAGAAGTGGGTAAATCATTTAAATGTATCATTCTGAAGCACTCACGTGGTTTGGTTGCTGCAATTTTGCCTTCTCCTCTGAAGTGCATTAGTATATTACCACAATTTTGTAATTAGTACTTGAACGACACCCAGACAACATGAGTGCTCAGCATAATTTCAAACTGATCTATCAGTGCCTAGTTTCTGCTTAATGTTACTTTGTAAAATTATGTTATGCATAAAACTTAAAACGCTGAAAGTTGTAACACAATACAAAATTACATTTGTAAAGCGCCTTTCATGTCAGGAGGATGTCCCAAGGTGCTGAACAGTCAGGGATTAGGACCTGAACGGGGGGAAGGGGTTGGGATCAGGGAAGGTGGAGAGCAGAGAGGGTAGGAGGGCGGCCAAAGTCATGGTCGAAGAGGAGGGTCTTGAGGTATAACTTGAAGGAGGCAAGGGAGGGAGTGAGGCAAAGGGAATGTTGGATGGAGTTCCAGAGGGTGGGGCAGAGAGGCTGAAGGCCTGACCGCCGATGGTGGGGCGGACCGGGCAGGGAACATGCTGAGCAGAGGGAGCGGACAAGTTGATAAGGGGTTAGCAGGTTGGAGAGGTAGGACGGGGCAAGGCCATGGATGACCTTGAAGTTGAGGACAAGAATTTTTGAACTCGATCCTCTGAGGGATGGGGAGCCAGTAGAACCGGGAAAGGGTGGGTGTGATGGGGTCTTGGAGCCTGGCGCTGGTGTGAGCCAATCAGGAAAGCCTTGGTCTTGCTGATGTTCAACTGTAGAAAGTTTACTCTCATCCAGGACTTGATGTCTGACAGACAGTCTGTCAGGAAATCAGTGGTCCTGGAGTCGAGGTTGGAGGCAGAGAAATAGAGTTGGGTGTCATTCCACATACATGTTGGAAGTTGACCTCATGTCTGCGGATGATGTCACCAAGAGGGAGCATGTACAGGTTGAAGAGGAGAGGACCGAGGACAGAGCCCTGAGGAACACCACTTGAGACGATGCGGGCGCTAGAGGAGAAGCCGTTTATGGAGACAAAGTGGAGCCGGTTTGAGAGATAGGATCTGAACCATTCAAGGACAGAACCTTAAAGCTTGAGGTGAGAGGACAAGGATAGAGTGGTCCACAGCGTCAAAGGCAGCAGAGAGGTTAAGGAGGATGAGAACCCTGGTCACAGATGGACAGAATGTAATTTGTCACCTTGACCAGAACTGGCCAGGACCCAAGGAAAAAATCGATTTCTCTTTTCGAGTGTTAGCCTAATGTATGAGCTCATTGCCTCAAAGTGTGGCTTGAACTCGTAATCTTCTGATTCAGAGGTGAGAATGCAACCAACTGAGTTAGGCTACCACCTGAGCAATTTATTAAAAAAAAGTCACTAGGATATGACTGTAAAGGGAGATGAGTAACATAATTGATTAATGATAAAATATGCTTTTAAAGTTGGTTTTGTCAGATCAGTTATGCCTTTGTGCAGCCAATATTTTTCCATTTTCACTCCATCAGTCAATGATTATCTAATGACGTTTTTGTATGAAAGATCTTGAATTACCCACGTAATTACAATAATTCTACTAATGAACGAGGTCATTGATGTAATTGGTGATGTAAATTGATTTCAACAGTTTAAATTCAGGTAAACTGAGAATAGTTGAGTTCAATTTTATATTGCCTTTAAACTGAAATATCAAATGTTAATGCCTTCTCAAAAAGCAAGAACCACATATTAAAAATGTTTCTTGACTGACCTTTTTTTTGTCAGCACTGCCAACATTAAACTATTGATTATCATTGATAGTTTACTGTTTTAATAGAAAAAAACAATGGAAAAAAAGAATGTGCATATCACTTTATATTTCAAAATATCTTGAAGTGCATTATAATAATATCAAGTATGTAAATTTTGTTGTAAGGAAATGTGGCAGAATTTTGTATCCACCACATGTGTGGTGGCTGAATTCTTAAGAATCTACAAACCATCTTTCACATATATGTGGTCTGCACCATATAAGGTGCATGCATCTTTCTTACCTAATCCCGGAGAGTTAGTCACAGGTTGGCAAGAGCCAAGACTTGTGGATCACAGAGTACATTGGGGGTACTGCTTACACAGGAACATCAGAACAGGTGTAGGCCAGTCAGCCCCTCAAGCCTGTTCCGACATTCTACTAGATCATGGCTGACTGTACCTCAACTCCATTTACCTGCTTTTACTCCATAGCCCTTGATACCCTTACCTAACAAAAATCTATTGACCTCAGTCTTGAAAATTTCAATTGATCCAGCATCCACAGCCTTTTTTTGGGGTGGAGGGGAGAGTTCCAGATTTCCACTACCCTTTGGATGAAAAACTGCCTCCTGATTTCACTCCTAAATGGCCTAGCTCTTAATTTTAAGATTATGCCCCAATAAGATTGACCCTCTCAGAGGACGTAGTTTCTCTGTATCTACCGAATCAAAACCTTTATCATTTTAAAACTCCTCAATTAGATTACCCTTCAATCGTCTAAACTCAGAAATACAAGCCAAGTTTATGAAACTTGCGATCATAATTTAACCCTTTAAGCCGTAGTATCATTCTGGTGAATCTGGGCTGTACCCCTTCAGCGCCAATATATCTTTACTGAGGAGTAGTGCCCAAAATTGAACACAGTACTCCAGAAGGGGTCTGACCAAGACTCTGTACAACTGAATCATCATTGCCTCAAGTTTGTATTCCAGCCTCCTTGAGATAAAGGCCAAAACTGCTGGACTTAACTAGCTAACTCCACAGCTGGAGTTTAAACAGTTAAACCATGCAGTTTACCAGTGTGAATCCTGGCATGTTACCACTACTTGCTCAGTTAGGACCATCCTATCCATGAGAGCTTTAGTTTGCAGGGTTTACAGGAGCCGAGTGGAAGGAATACCGTCACTCAGTCTCTGATCTGTTCTTCCGAGTCCTACTGACAAGTGAGCTTGGTGGTCCATGATCATAAGTGCCTTGGAGTAGGCAGACCTGACTGACTCAGGTGTTGGACTCCTGAGACAGCAACAGAGGACTGATGTGAT